CTGTGAGCTGCCACCTTTGCCCCCCGATGTCTCTTCTACTTGTTATGCATCTGAAGTTGGAGGTTCAGATATGAGTTATGATTCGTGGAGTGGCTCGGGCTTTCTCGGGTTTGACTCGGGAATGGGTGAACCATATTTCGGCTTTAACTCTTACGAGTTCATGCACCACATGATACCCTCGGTTCCTGATACGGTAACCGAGGGATTTGATTTGGGTTCATCTTCATCATCATCGGGTTACTTCTTTTAATAGATACCATAGTTAATTAACAAATGGTAAATTGCAACTACAACTTCTGTCTTATGGTTTCAAAAAGAAGAATGTGTGGGTTTAGTTTTGGGATTTTGTTTGTAATATGACTTTTGTTTATTTAATGATTTTGGTGGTAATTAAGTACAGGTTTATTGGGTTGTTGGATTTGGGTCCAATTTGTCGTTTGGTGGGGGGGAATGGTCCTGCTACCAAGTCTTTATTAAATATAGTTTAATTCATAGAGAAACAAATGATCATTCAACTTGGTTGTTAGAGCACAAGATTCTTAATTTTGAGATCGTGAGATCAAATTTCACGAAGGGCATTTTATAATTTGGAGGTCTCCCACGGAAGTTGCTCTCAACCTGGCGTTGGGGGCAGCCTACTATCTTATCTTCCCCTTACCCCATTATATATGAAAATAAGGGTCAGCTAATTTTTTTAATTAATTGAGAATTTTAAATCATTCTCGTAAAATTATAAACCATCCTCACATATTTCTATGGTCTATTTCTTCTTAATTTAAAAATTGAGAAGTTATTTTCTATACTAATATTTCTGTATAAAGTCGCAAGAATCAAAAGATTTTATTACAATTATGCCCCTATATATATCTTTCAAGCAGTGGCAGAGCCATATATATTCGAGGTGGATACGTGTCCACCTGAAATTTGAATTTTTTTCATTTAGCTCTTTATTTTATTGGTATCTACCCTGAAATTTTAATTGTGCCCACATATTCGAAAATTTTATATTATCAAACCATGTGTCCGTGCAGTAAAAAAAATATCTCTGGATCCGTCACTACCTTCAAATGAAATTATATAAGACGTAGTGAAGAAGAACACTACCAAATCATTATGCTTAGAATTGGAATAACTTTATATGTTAAAAATTCTAATTAGTAAATTAAAGCACGTCTTTAGCAACAATCAGTTGGTTTAGTGAGATGAAGCATTAGATACTTTAATTGGGTTGCAAATTGGGTTCGAATTATGTTGATTACGAGGGAACAAATTGGGTTGAGATTTGGGAGGGTCGATTTTGCCTCTACAGTACCCGATCCGAATTAGTTGATTTAATAGATAAGATATTGATAGTTATACAAAAAAAAATTAAAGCATGTCTAACAAATACAATCGGGAAACGCTCAAAAGCCTTATTAACTAACCTTTCAGCCATTAACGGAGAAAGAGCAATAAGAAAATCAATCAGAATATTATCTAACGCACCCAACTCCTACAAATTATGTATGCCTTCAATGTGTCCTTTTAATCTTCCTTCCTAATTAGTTTCCATAATTACAATCCCCATCCTTCTCCCATTTCTTTTATTTAAACCTGATCCAGGCGTTTGCAAACAAGGTTCATTCCTATCGACCACTCGCTGCACTTACACATTGGATAAAATGGCTTTTAGAGCAACGGTATATATGCTTCTAACGTTGGTCTCCTCAGTTTATTTTGCCATACATGATATGACAAAATGAATGGTGTTGCAGGGTTACTGGAAATCAATGATCGCCTCATTGGAAAGGAGTTCGAACCGGTCCTTTGCCTCATCGACAATGACATCTCAGAAGGCGAAACAATATTCCACCGCCTCGAAAGCGGATCCAAATCATCGCCCTGCTAACAAGTCAGTTTAAATTTTAATCAGGATATTTGTTTTGTTTCTTTTTTTTTAATCAAGAGATACATGGTGAACATGTTGTGCAGGCATTGGGACAATATGCCGATTTATATCGTGATGGGAATGGTTTCGGTGGCGGTAATGATCGCGGCTCACACGGCGAAGCAGCAGTTGAGGCATCACCCTAATGTGGTGATCACCAAGACGAAGAGGGAGTCTATATCTGAGCTTGACAACCCTGATCAAGCTAGTGCTTCTGGCCATAAGTTCTTGGACAAATCTTTCCTCAGAAAAGTTGCTCACCTTCAGGACCGCAAACATTAAACCCTTTCACCATGTTAATCATTTAAATTTTTGGTTTAACTATCAGTATTCTATCTATTAATAGATTAATCCGAATCAGATACTACCGAATAACTACCGAATGAGCTTCCTCTTCTTGGTGATTTCACTTTGTTAATAGCTTTCATGTGTTGGTTCTAGCCCTTTTCGGCTAATTGTTAATAACTACCAAATGTTTTGTTTATAATTATAATTGTAACTTAAAATAAATAAATAAAGTAATCTTTCCGGCGAATATGCTGGCGTCTCATACAGTAATAACATTGTTAAATCCGAAATCATGAAACCCCATCCATGGATATGTCCAAAGACAAATGCAACAATCAAGAATGACAAACACAAACATGCCAGTTTGTGATGCTTGGTGGATCATCATGGAAGCGGGTAGACAATTAATATTACATGCATGATATCATTTTAATAAGTTCCATCAGAAGGCAAAACTTTGTCTCTTTATTTGGACATTTCTCCTTTGGCAATGGCTTCACCTGCAAAAATCTGGTTAAAATGCAGACAAACAGTGGCTAGTAGGTTATTAATGCTTCAGTTCTACAAGTTCACTTACTTGTCACACACACGACAAACACACCCAACTTTCAACGTATATTTTTTTGATAGTTGATGTTTACAGAATTATTAGATGGATTGATGTTGCTATCAAAGAATTCTAATTCTGGATTAATTTTGAATACAAGGACCATGGTGTTTGATCGTGATTGGTATGGAAATTTTCTCTTCTTTTTGTCTGCTACCTTGTCTGATTCATATACTATCAGCTGCCTGTTAGCATTCATCAGTGTCGAGTCCAGCTAAACATGTCAAACTTTGTGCAGCATTTTGGAGAAGATGAACATCACAGCACTGTCGTCTCGCAGTCTTCTAACGAGAATCCGAGTCCTCTTGAGCATCCTATCCCCACAAGCTCGAAGAGAAAACGAAATCTTCCGGGGAATCCAGGCAAGCATGCATTCCTTATCTTTATCTTTGATTTAGATACTTACGCGAACTTTAATCACCGAGTCAATATTCAGTTCTTGGAAAATTTTCAGATCCTGATGCGGAGGTGGTAGCCCTGTCGTCGAGGACTCTAATGGCAACCAACAGGTACATAATGTGAAGTCTGTCATAAAGGATTTCAACGAGACCAGAACCTTCAGCTGCATAGGAGGGGACATAACTTGCCTTGGAAGCTAAAGCAGATAACAAATACTGAGGTGATGAAGAAAAGGGTTTATGTCCTGAGCCGAATTGTGTTCATTATCATCCGAGCCGTGCTCTAGGCGACTTGACCGGCATTAAGAAGCATTTCTGCAGGAAGCATGGAGAGAAGAAATGGAAGTGTGATAAGTGCTCTAAACGATATGCTGTTCAATCAGACTGGAAGGCACACTCAAAGATCTGCGGCACCTGCGAATATCATTGCGATTGTGGCACTATTTTTTCGAGGTATGTAGCATATTACTCTGTAAATGATCTGAGGGGGTTGTAATTATTTTTCTTTTCAATCCATTTGTTTCTTACAGGAAGAACAGCTTCGTTACACATAGAGCCTTCTGCGATGCACTGACAGAGCAAACTTACAAGGCGAACCATGCTACCACAGGAGGAATTTCGCCACAAGAGACGATGCCTAGTTCCGATTCATCCTCCAATGCCAACACGAAGATGAACCTGTTGATTTCAAACGAGAACATGAACATGTCCAGCAACAATTTAAATCAAAAGTTCAATCCAGGAACATCCCTATCTTCTACTTTTGCAATAGGGTCCGCTTATACATCCGCAACGGCCTTGTTACAGAAAGCTGCAGAGATGGGTGCTCGGTGATACTACAATTGCCCCGATACTACTCCGAGGTTTTACCGGACACTCTACCGGTACCATCTCCTCAACCGTGTGGTCCATGACGGTTCTTCCATGATTGGTAGTCACATAGAAACGAATGGGCCAGCACCAATGTCCTGTATAAGGGAGAAGAAACATATAACAAAAGATCCCACAATACTCTTGCTCCGTAGTCATTTTCTACTGGCTGAGAATGGGAAATCCGGGAATCTGTTGGGAGAAATGTACATGGAAGGCGGCGAAAAAACGACGGTCGATTTCTTAGGTGTGAAGCCAACAGGGGATCAGAATGTGGATACAGAAAGAAGCTATGACGGAAACATAATGAACTTAGGGTACTAAAATGAGCAGCAACAGCTAAGCCTAAACGATTTGCATGCAAACTGGTAAACTGCTGATTGTTGAACTGATATTTTGGAGTTGTTAAGTTATTAGTGATCTTCTCGTTTTAGTATTTGGTTGACATAATCGGAAAGAAATAACCATTTTAATTGAATTTAGCAGTACATGGGAGATGATGTAACATACATAGTTGCTGCTAATATCATTTTAACCAGTGATCATTATTTAAATGTCATTTTGTGAATGAAAATGGCATCGATCATCAAGCATTTACTACTAATTACAAATATAGTATCACTGTGTCAAATAATATATTTTTTAGAAATAAAAATATTTATATAAATACATACCGCGCTCAAATTCATGTCTAAGAGAACATAGATAATAAGCCTTGTTGGTAATTCAACTAATAATTACAAATACAGTGAAAAGCCAGGATTAAGCTTTATGAGAGGAGAACAAATTCGTGTTTATCAATCAACCTTTATTCCCCCACTAGTAAAATCAATATTCAATTCCATCCATCTGCTCCTGAAAGTAGAACTGGATTCTATCCTTTTAATTGATCACAACAATCATTCATAGCCATAAACTGAAACCAAAAATGGCTAATCCTGATTTAACTGTTCTGGTCCTCAACCTTTCTCCTACAGCCACTCTCGGAGACCTCAATGCATATTTCTCCAACTGTGGCCATGTCGAGAAAATCAAGCTCCTGGGGTAATTAATTCAATCTTCTACACCTTAATTAAACGCTTCATATCTTTTGTTCTCCTTTCACTTTGGTCATTTTGAGCAGTGCCAATAGAGACCAATCACAGTCAGCTTTGGTATCTTTTAGGCAGCCATATGCTTATCAAGCAGCTCTTCTCCTTAATGTAAGGAAAAAAATTACGTTCAAATTAGCAATTTTGTTCGTTTGTATTTGATGTGTGGACTTGCACTTGGTTTCCACTTTGCAGAATGCTGTTTTTGCAGGCCAGACAATTCGAGTTCTGCCGAAGAAGGACGAGGCGGATCCTCCTGTCTCATATAGAACAATTCCTATTGTTTCTGAGGTAACTTCCTTTCCCATGCCAAAGAAAGTTTATGAATCTGTATTTATTTTCATCTTATACATTCGATGCTGCAACATTTAGAACAACATGACCCGAGGTAACGTTCCCCTACTTCGAGCCGTGGCGGATGCATTAGCGTGCGAAGGGGTTCAATTATCGGGGAAAAGTAGAGCGGTGGTGGACAAAACCAGGGTAGCAGTGCGCGCGGCTGATGAGGCGATTTCGGCAGCCGAGGAGGCAGCAAGAGATGTGGTGCATAGGATCAAGAACACTGATTATGTTGCGGTTGGTGCTACTTTGTTGTCTGGTGTGCTTCAGAAAACATCCAAGCTTGTCTTGGAGCTTGGCAATAGGAAGGGTCAATGTCCCAACTCCAGGGATCGGATATGAGTTTCTTTTTATAATCGAACAAATATGACCAACGTGTATTTGATTTGTTTATGTTTATGAACAAATTTATTTATAAGCTTGTTTACTTAAATATAGGCATAGCTTTCTCCTATTGGTGTGCCATTCATCTTTTTCTTTCTCGTCTTTATTAATAGTTGATATATTTTATCTGCCTGTGTTACATATTTTTATATGTTTTTGTGACATATTTTCTTATGCGTTTTGACATGTTTTTCTGTTCTTTAGCCATTTTTTTCGTTTATCATTTTTCTAATGGTTGATTTTATATTGTCACGATTGACGCTTATCTGATATCTTGTTGATTTTTCCTTCTTCGGACGCTCGAATTGGATTTGGATACCCGATCTGCGTTCGTGGATAGCTTTTCACGTCGCTCGATTCTGATTTACAGTTTGTCGGTGGTCTTTCAATAACCTGATTCTCTTTTGTGATTCGTTTTTCGATGCAATCAAATCTGTTTATCTATTTTTTGTTTGAGTTTCTTAGTTAGATTTAATTTTTCCTTGTATGATACTTACGTGATCTTAAGTTTCTAGTTTTATTTTTAATGATTATAGAATTTTTTTTAATTATTTGTTTAATTTACGATTGTGATTGTAAATCTTTATTTTAATTTGATATATTTTTTTATTTTGATTAAAATTAGTTACTTCTACTTAAATATAAGCATAAGCATTCGCAAAGAAACACCGGGGATTTTTCTGCTTTCTCATCTTGTTGTTTCGTTGTTTGGGCGGTGGTGGTCGCCTCTACCACCGCCCTTGCTGCTTTATGCTATCTCTTGACCGTTTCACTCAAGATCTCAAAAGGCCATCACAGTGTCGCTGAATCTCCTTTGGTTCTTTGAATATGGGATTGGTCGGTCTAGCCATGTTGTTTTTGGGGATTAGGGTTCGTTTGGCTTCCATCTCCAAACTTGCTACTCGATTATTTGGGCGTTCTTTTCTTGCTTGGTGAGATCGTTTCTCTCTCTACCAGCTGTGATGTTATCCCTGTTCCTATTTGAGTGATGTTTCATGCTTCAGATATGGTTTTGCATGTTTAAGTTTCACAGTTTTGTGTTTCTGTGTGGGTTAATAGTTTAGCTGCTGGAGTCAGAGTGCGATAGTTTTTTTCTGCATGCAAGTTGTTTGTGTAAATGACATAGTGAACCAGTCTATTGCACGCTTGATTTATTTCAACATATGGGAGAGTGTTTCAGGTCGTTCGTCGGAATCTGTTGTGTTGTTTGTGGTTATTCCTTCATATACTCTTAATTGTTTAGGTTTATGGCAAAAAGTGAGTTGTTTAGGTGAGGTTTCGAGTGTGTTTATTTCAGAGTAGAGGAGTCGAGTACGAGTTTTTGGGGGCGTGAATGTCAGGTTGTGGCGGTTCATGATTTTGGTCTTTGAGGTTGTTTGTCGTGGTTTTTAAGAGGAGCTGGAGTAGTTTTAGAATTTGTATTTTAGTGTAAGATTTTCAGTAGTTTATTCTTATTGTTAGTCTGTTTTCCCGTGGCTAGAGTGTTTTTGGTTGACAAGCTGTTTTCTGGTGGATTACTTCATTTCTCCGTTCCCTGTTTGGTGGGTGTGGTTGCCCAGTGGCCTGTGCTGTGGTGGGTGGTGTTGTTTCTTGTGCTTTGAAGTTCTTCCGAGGTTGAGTGTGCGTCGTTGCTGCTAGCCGTCTCGTGTTTGCTTTGGCAAGCCTTTTGATTTGTGGTGTTGCTTATAGATGTTGTTCACCGTCCGTTCCTGCGTGTGTTTTTGCTTTGTGTATTCATTGTTGGCTCTCCGACCAATGTTGGACCGGCGAATTCAGCAGCAGTTGCTGTCGAGATGTCTCCTAGGCTGCAGGTGGGTTCAAATGCAGATGCTGGTATCGAGGTAAACTTTATTGAAGAATGTTTCATTGTAATACTTTAAAAGAAAAGTGAAGATGGTGCCTTGTTAAGTTGTTACCCGCATGAAGTTATTGTTGTGGAATATGGGGGTTGTCGGTAATAGTTTATTCGATATGCCCATAGTGTCGTCGGATGGGTTGTTTTACCAGTGGGTGGAGGAGAGCATTGGTTTAGTGGGTTTTATTAGACTTGCACGTGTCTTGTGGTAACTTTTGCAATTTGGGTGTTGTTTCCGCTAGTAGTACTGCAAGCTACCTCTTAGTTTGTCGAGTGATCTCCTTTTTATTCGGAAAGCTTTTGTTGTTGATTGTGATGTTTCTTGATGGGTTTCTTTTCGTTTTCGCCAGATGATTCAGGTTGGTTGGGTAGTCTCGTGTAGTCGTTGATATATGGTATTATGCTTCGGTCTTTGGCCGTGTCTAATGGTAGATAGTGTTAGTTTTAACATGTGTGGTACTCCATGAATCAATGTTAGCCTTCGTTCCTGTTGATGTTCTGTTTGATGTGGTGGTTCGTTCCTTTGGTTTGCTGTCGGTGTCCGACCTCGGTTTAGTTCTCAATTCATTTTATGGGTTGTTTGTGTTGTATTTTTCTTGAATTGATTTAGGGTTGTGGTAGGGCTGGGGTATGGTTTATGTGATGTTACAGCTTTGTGCCTTTGATTCTTACCACCTCAAGGTATACTCTTTTTCCTCTATTTAGGATCAGAGAGATTTTTTAATGAGGCCTTTGAGGTGGTGTACTTTGTAACATTTCTTAATACAAAGTACCCTATTTTAAAATATATATATATAAGCATAAGCATAATATTCATTAATTAAGAGGCATAAGCATAGGATTTATATTTCTATTCATTGGACTATAATTTCTCAATTTTTTTTATCAAAGACAAATATTATATTTTTAAAATAAATATTTAGATGTAAATTCACATAAAGCAATATGATAATACAATATGAATATCATTAACCATAGAAATCTTAACTATAACATACCACTTTATTAATAAAGAACAATATTTAAAATAAAAATAAATATCAATTAAACATTATTAATAAAAATATAAAATGATAGATTCTCGTTGTACCCGTCAAAGATCCCTTGCACATTATATTTTCAGCCGATAGCCTATCGAGGACCAAGAAACATATTTGAATCTTCGGCACTTACGAAACTCTGAAAGACAGAACGTTTCTTAAAGGGAGACCTTAAATATTTAACATAATTTGAGAAGTCGTGACCTTTGATTGATTAGAATTAAATTTACTATCACCTATTTATATCCACATAGTCTACTAAAATACGGGTAGTCATAATGACTCTAAATCTAACATTCACATTAAAAGTTATTATAATATTTCTGGACCAAAACGGAGATAAATTATGTAACCTAGACAGAACTATTTTACCTTCACTCACTTCTATACTATCTCATCACGGGAAAAAAGTATCGATCAATAACTATTTTCTCATCAATCATGTTTCTTCACCTAAACCAAATAAGATAATAATCTATACCCATCATAACTCAATTAATCTTTTGATATATGAGATTCATCACATGGAAACAACCTAGTAAATTGCTACAAAACCAGTAATTAATGCTATAATTGTTGGTGTGATAAAATCTCATTAATATCATATCCCTAAAGGAAAAAGGTATGGGGCACCCAAATTCGAATTATCCCTTCCTTCTAAAATTTAGGGTAAATTATACGCTTAATACCTAAATATCAGTTTTATTTCATTTTGCTGTCTAAACTTTCATTTTTTTTTTCAAAATCTTTTTTTGTTTCGTTTTTATACTTCACCGTTAAAAACTTAACGGAACTGTTACAGCATGACATTTTTTATGGGTAAATTACATCATTCATCACTCTACTATCTTCTCACTCCTATTTTGATCATTTTTTTTAATTTAATTACTTAATTTTCAAATCACTCAAAATTTCAAAATTAATTTTTTATTTGAAGTATATATTAATAAAATAATAATAAAAATGTCATGTCACAAAAATTATCAATAAAATAATTAGAGTGACTAAAACATTAACAATTTGAAAGTTGGGTAGTTAAATTGAAAATTTTTAAACTTTAATAACTAAAATAAGAGTGAGAATATAGTTAAGTGATGAATGATATGATTTACTCATAAAAATGTCAGTGCAATAGTTTCGTTAAGTACTAAAATAAAATAAAAAGTAAACATTAGGTATAATTTTAAAATAAATAAAAAATTAAGTATTAAAAGAAAAAATTAATAATCTAAATACTAAATGTGTAGTTTACCCTAAAAATTTTATAAGCATAATTAAGACAAACTTTCAAAGACGCGATGAGAAACATAAATACTACGTACTGATCAATGTAGGTAAGCGATACCCTATTCGGCACTAATACAAAGTTAGCGATATTACTAATAACATGGGGGCTCTCTCCATCGATTCCTTACGGTATTTTCTATGATAATATAAAACTCATCAAGTCGAGGTGATAAATTTTAATAAAAAAATATTTTTATTTAAATTTTTTATCTTGATATAATAAAAATTAATAAAAATATATATTTTATTGAAATTCGTTATTTTGAGGTTATAAGTTTGAATAAAAAATATTTTTTATTAAAACTCATTACTTCAAGATAACGTATTCTATTGATACTATAAAAAATTTATAAATCTCAAAATAAACTTCTGCTTACCTTATTTTCTTAATTAAATTATTCATTTGCTCTATTGAAAAAAAAACCTTTGCACATTAAAATTCGATGATGATTGATATAATATATATTTTTTCAACATATATTATTTGGACTTTACGAAAATCTCTCGGTATTTTCAACGTCTCTTTGATTTTAGGCATATAAGTAATATTATATTCTTTTTCAATTTCATTTATCTTTGATTGAATTTAAATTTTAGATTTAAATCTCCATCGCTACACACGAATAAAATATTAATATTTTTAATTCATAAAATGATTTTAGTGACAAAAGGAAAAATTATTCCATCCTAAATTCGAGCAGTTGTATTTGTATGGTGCGTAAACATTGTCAATAAATTTAAAAAAATTATTAAGCAAGATCAAGAGTTCGAATTTTTGTGTTTGTAAATAGAGTAAACTATATTGAGAGGGTCACCATCACCTATACAATATTTGATCTGAATTAATTGATTAATATATAAAATACAAGTGATTATATATAAAAAAAAAGAAAGAAATTCTGAACAATACTACCTTATAACCCCTCTAAACTAATTAAAGAAGGATAAATTACACGTTTAGTACCTAACCTATTAATTTTGGTCTATTTTAATACATAAACTTTCATTTTTTTCAAAATCACACCTAAAATTTAGTATTTATTTCATTTTAGTATCCCACCATTAAAAATTTAAATAATTTAGTACCTAAACTATTAATTTTGGTTTATTTGAGTACCTAAACTTATTTTTTTTTCAAAATTTAATGTTAAATTTTGAATGAGGAACTAAAATTAAATTAAAATTGAAGTATAATTTTGAAAAAATAAAAATTTAGATATTAAAACAAATTAAAATTAATAATTTAAATATTATATACATAATTTACCCTAAATAATATTTTTGTCTAGCTCTAGCGCGTAAATGAACAGTTAATCAAAAACTTTCTTTTATAAACTGTCAATGTCTTCTGATTAAGTGACGGATCTAAAAATATTTTTAAAATTAAACATATGTTGAATAAATAATTTTTTTTAAATGGACGAACATAATTAAAATATAAAATGATTATAAATAAAATTAAAATATAAATCATTAATAAAATAATAAACTAATCAAAATCAATTCAAATTTCAAGACGTGACCACCTTACTTATATATGGCTCCGCCACACTGCCAACGATCATCTAATCTACCCTTCCTTTCATCATCATCGTCTTCTTGAATTTCATCGTACGCAACAACACGCACACAGAAACGCACTGTTTCTCCAATGGATCGAGTACTTCAAAGGACCAAAATCCTAAACAATCATCTCCTCCAAGCGTCTCCTTCTTCACCTCCTCTTTCTTCAAACGCATGCTTGAATTATTCTCCCCCTGAACTTTCCGAAATTTGCGCATTCGATGTCAAAGAGATGCGGCGGCTAATCGACTGGCACCACATGGAGTTAAGGGACCATCTGTTCGGGATGATAAGCCGGAGCAAGCTGTTCAACCCGAGGGTGAGGGGAGGGAAGGTGTTCGTGTCTCCCGACTATAACCAGCCCATGGAGCAGCAAAGGGAAATGACGTCGAAGCGCATCGACTATTTGTTTGAAAGAGGGGTGTTCAAAGGTTGGTTAACGGAGGAAGGAGAAGAGGTCGAGTTGAGAAAGTTCGCTTCCTTCGAGGTTCTGGCTATCTGCGATCATTCCTTGGGAATTATGCTCGCAGTTCACTTCTTCTTGTGGTATGTAATTTCAAAGCTTGTTCTGTTGTTTTACTAGTTTTCAAACTGTACAATAGTTTGCATCGGCGGATCCTAAAATTCGAATTTTCTTAGGTTCATATATAGTTGTCCACTCTTAAAAATAATTTTAGATCCTCCGCTTATAGTTCTGGTTGTCGTAATTCGTAAATGTTATCAGGGGTGGTGCCGTCCAAGTATTCGGCACAAAGCATCATCATGACAAATGGTTGAAAGACACAGAAACGAACGTCGTCAAGGGTTGCTTTGCGATGACAGAGTTGGGGCATGGAAGCAATGTATGTAAGAATCGAGCTTTTTCCCCCCCATTTTTCCCTGATTGATTCTCACATTACTACTTTTAGGTGCGCGGAGTTGAAACAGTAGCGACATATGATTCGAACGCAGGGGAGTTCGTCATTAACACACCTTGTGAATCAGCTCAGAAGTTTTGGATTGGTGGAGCTACCAATGTACGTTTGTCTTGCATGTGGAGTTTTTGTTAATCAGTTTTGCCTGTATGCTGACATAGTACGCTTCTACTATTGCTTTGCTCTTTAGTATGCAACACATGCAATAGTCTTTTCACAGCTAAATATCAACGGAACCAGTCAAGGGGTTCATGCATTTATAGTCCAAATTAGGGATGCTAATGGTAAGGTATGTCCGAACATTCGGACTGCAGACAATGGTCGGAAAACTGGTTTAAACGGTGTCGATAACGGTCGAATCTGGTAACTCTAAACCTACATTTTTCACTATGATATGGATTCATTAGTATTTTCGTTTCCCTGAGGTTTATATCTCTGATTTCAGGTTCGACAATGTTCGAGTTCCCAGAGACAACTTGTTAAATTCAGTCGCTGATGTTTCACCTGATGGAAAATACCTAAGTTCAATTAAAGACCCTGATCAGGTACTCCTATTAGGGAGACTACTATCTGTTTCTAATGTATTGGTCACTCTTAAATGCTAGTTGCTTTAATGCAGAGATTTGCTGCATTCCTGGCCCCTCTGACTATAGGTCGTGTGAGTATTGCATCCTGTGCCGTTTATCTGTCGAAGGTATCTTCAGTGTTTTTCTTTAAGCATCTGATCTGATCCCTTTTTATTGGCAGATGAGCACTGTAGGCAACTGATATCATTTCTCTCGGTTTTAGGTTGGTTTAACGATTGCCATTAGGTATGCGCTAACAAGGCGGGCCTTTTCTCTTAAACCGAATGAACCCGAGGTCTTATTGCTTGATTACCCTAGTCATCAACGACGACTTTTGCCTCTTATTGCAAAGACGTAAGTATATAAGGTGCAAATGAGTAGTTCTTCTATGTCCCCCATATATCACTTCCGTTCAAATCATGTCACGTAATAAATTTCCGACTTCTGCCGCAGCTATGCTATGAGTTTTGCATCGAAGTACTTGAAAACGTTGTATGTGAAGAGGACACCTCATTCATACAAAAACATTCATGTATTTTCAAGTTCGTTCAAAGCTACTTTTACTTGGAATAACTTGCACATACTTCAGGTGAGCAACAAGATGATCATGAACTGATGCTGTGTATTAAGAGTAAGTGTGTTATCAAGGTTCCATTGTTGAATGCTTCAGGAATGCCGTGAAGCTTGCGGAGGACAAGGATTAAGTTCCGAGAATCATGTCGGTCAAATGAAAGCCGAATTCGACGTGCAGGCCACTTTCGAGGGGGACAACAACATTTTGATGCAGCAGGTAAATATGTGTTTCTAGTTTCGTGGCTATTGTGTTTCATTTCTATTCACGTGGATCGTACACACCATGTAAACTCAGGTCAGCAAGGCTCTACTTGCCGAATATGTGGTTGTTATGAAGAGAAAGAAGGTTTTCAAGGGTCTAGGCTTAGAACACATGAATAAGCCCTGCCCTGTCATTCCATCACAGCTTACTTGCACAACACTCCATTCAAGTCAATTCCAGGTAATATAACCAGTTTTTCCTTTCTTATTCTTCCAAATTAAGATTTGTGGGTATCTCTGACCATTGGCATGTGTCAGATGGCAGCCTTGTGCTTAAGGGAGAGAGATCTTTTGAATCGATTAGCATTCGAGGTCTCGCAGCATCAAGCCAAAGGACTAAGTAAAGAGCATGCCTTCAATATGGTGAGGAAGTAGTTATGTTTTTGTAAGTTGGCTAGCCTTTTCTTCACCTTTTAGTCTTCTGACAATCACTTTTGTACAACAGAGTTATCAGCTAGCAGAGGACTTGAGCAGAGCTTTCACAGATCGAGCGATATTCCAAACGTTTTCCGAGGCAGAAGCAACTTTAGCTTCCGGTCCATTGAAGGTGAACATAATATGAGTATCAACTTGATGTCCAGTCTAAACTATGGAAGTGCACATTAGTCAGGGTGTTGAGTCTTCATTTTGGTCTTGTGCAGGATGTGCTAGGCATATTGAGATCATTGTATGGACTAATATGTCTCGAAGATTCAGCGTTTCTCCGATACAGGTACCTATCGGTGGACAACAGTGCTCTGGTGAGGAGAGAAATAATGAAAACATGCGGCGAAATTCGACCACATGCACTTGCTTTAGTGAGTTCCTTTGGCATCCCTGATGCTTTTCTGAGCCCTATAGCTTTCAACTGGATTGATGCAAACGCATGGGCTTCAGTTCAGCACTGATAGGGTGTTCTCCCTACCAATTCGAGCTAAACGAAAGGCCTACTCATTTTGTAATAAGCGAGCCTTCATCGGATGCTATAGCCAATGCAGTAGTGTGTACACTGTTTATTATTTTAATAAGGCATAATAACAAACAAAATTAGCCAATGTTTACGTAAATAATCACTTTGCCCTTTTTTTTAAGCATTTTAGTTCCAACGTTTTATTTTAGATTAAAATATTCTTGATTAGAGGAAAATTGTTAGTTAATTAATTGTTAATGTTTCATACGGACGTAACAAGTTCATGTGTGATGTCACTTCAGTAAAAAATATTTTTGGAGTAAATTATAAATTTATAATCATAATTAATTATATAAACATTTATAAAAATATATTTAAGCATTACACGTGGACCTGCCACATCAATAGGAAGCGTTGATTGTGAATCAAGTAATGATTTTTATCTACCCAAATGACATTTTACTCTAAAATAAAATATTAGCTGTTAAAATGTTTCAAAAAAAATGATATAGGATAAATATACTATTTGTGCAAACGTTTGGGATAATTTTATTATTTTGCCTTTTTAATAAATATATAGTCTATTATTGAAAGGCTTGTGTCACGTGTAAGACTATGAATGAAAGAGAAAGATTGAGTTACTAGAGTTCGATTAAATTAAAATTCGTTCAATATTTGATTTAAACAGGTTTCACTTGAGTTTTTAATGAATCAAAATGACTCACTTAATACCTTATTAAAAATCTTCGAGAACAATTTGAAAAAATATTAAAATTTTAATTTTTAAATTAAATTATTAATAAATGAACATTTATATATATATATATTTAAAAAACAATATAAAATTTTAATGTATCTATTCAAAATTTTTTAATCATTGACAACATACATAAATACAATTATTTAAACTCAAGGGTTAATATAAATATTATGAACTCAAGGGAATCTCATTCCCGGTAATGTTTTATTACCAATAGTAGATTTTTTAGGATATATTACCGGGAATGTCATTACCTCCCTTCCCTTAGGTATTGTAACATTACCGGCGTTTTGGACTAAAATGCCCTTAAATTTTTATTTTTTTTCAAAAATATCATTCTTCTATCATTGAATAATAAAAATTCTACGAAGGTTAAATTACAAATTTATCCTTAAATTATTTTAGATTTACAAAAAAAATCTATAATTAAAATTTTATATTAAGTTCAGGAGTTAAAAAAAATTTACCCTTTCATTAAACTTTTTTTATATTTTTAATTTTGTAAAAAAATTATATAAATATTATGAATTTTATTTTTTAAAGAAAATATATAAAATATTTTACAATTTGTAATATTATACAAATATATAATAAGGACAATTTGGTCAAATATACATTCGAATAATCTTTTATTCCTTTAACCAAACACGGTAATCTTACATTCCCGCTAAACCAACCAAACACAAAATACAACATTCCCAGTAATCCTATTCACTGGTAATCTTTTATTCCCACTAGTAATCTTACATTCCGTGAACCAAACACACTCTAAACAGAAACCACAGTACAACCAAGAAACCCTGGAATAGGTAAAACAAATAAAACCCTGGAATAGGTAAAACAAATAAAACCCATACAGAGAAAACACCTCATTCCAGGGATGACGTAAGACCGGCTATCAAAAAACAAGAGAAACTCGGAGTGCAAGATATGCAGATAAAAAGGGAATCCGAGTAGACATGACCCAGCCCACCAGCGGAAAACAAACGAGACAGAAGACTAGAAAGCTCAAACTCAAGAGGACTGCTAAGCAAGATGCATCTGTTCTTGATCCATGGTTGCTGCCAATGTCGTTTCAGGAGGAGCCTCTTCTATCCAGCACATCATTTGCAGCTGCTCCCTCCCTTAGCGAGCAAGGACATGGGCGATATTGTTGGCTTCACGTCCCACATGACAAAAGGCGATATCATCAAAGGACTTAGACACCTCCTTAATATCACAAATAATCGAATTAATTCGGGAACCATCGATTATCGAATTTTGCAGCTTCTTAATAATAGTGAGGGAGTCTCCTTCAACAACAACTCTTCGAAAACTCAAGTCACGGGCAAAATTTACTGCTTGATAACACGCAATAGCTTCAGCTATAAAAGCATCTGCCACATCACAATGGGGAAAAACACAAGCCGCCATATAAAGCCATCACTGTCACGACAGATGACACCAAAAATTGCCTACTTAGACTGAGCGTTATACGCTGCATCAAAGTTTACTTTAATTACCCCTTAGAAGGCGTTCTCTAACGAGGTGGACTCACTATGGACGTTGAAGCAACTGAAGCATGGGCATCCTCATTTTGTAGCAGAAAAGCCTGAATAAAGGAGAGGATTGCAGGAACCGACACAACATAGCGATCATGAATAACCCTATTACGGGTGTTCCAAACTGCCCAATAAGTTACCATCAGCTTACGTTTCTGATCAGCATGCAACATGTCGAGAAAAGGGATCACCCAATCCTCCCATTGCTCTCCATCACCATTGTTAGGAAAGCTGATATTCTGGTCTCTACAAAGCCTCCTCGTCAACCAGCAATCCCTCATGATATGACTCACTGTTTCGATCGAAGAGAGACAAATAGGACACTCATTATGAACATCCAACCTCCTTTTTTGGAGATTTGCAAACGTTGGAAGAAAATTATGGACGATTCGCCACATTGTAATCTTCACTTTCTCCGGCAACCTAACAGTCCACATATCTCGATAAAATTACAAACGATCCGAAGAGAGGGTGTAATGGTCCTCTTGCAATAATCTAGACCAACTCTTAACCGAATAAACCTCACATCCATCATGTCTCTTAATAATCTCATTGTGTAGGCCAGTTCTAGACAGCGGGATGGAACAAATGGCATTCACCTCATCAACATCAAACAACCTGGACAGCACATCACGCTTCCAAGTAATTGTCTGTGAATCAATAAGGTCCGACACAGTTGTAAAATTGATATCAATGTTTCTGCTTCTAATTCGACCATGACCAGGCCCCGGTAACCATGGATCATTCCATAAGTTAACCCGTTCACCAGATCTGATACGCCAACCATAACCTTTTACGATAAGACCGCGGGCGCTCCACAGACTTCGCCAAATAAAAGACCAGTGAGACCCTAATCCGGAGCTTAGAAAGTCTTTGCCAGGATAGTACCTAGCTTGGAGAACCTTAGCAAGAAAATTTTGTGGTTGAGTTATAAGGAGTCAACAATGTTTCGCAAGGAGAGCAACATTGAACTTGCCAAGATCGCGAAAACCCAACACCCCACCCGACTTTGGCCGGACAAGATAACTCGAAGTGCACCAGTGGATTCTTTTTCCTGACCCACTACTTCGCCACCAAAACTTAGCCATTGCTTGCTCCATTTCCCAACATGGCGTGGACGGCAAAAGAAAACATTGCATAGCATACATGGGGATGGCCTGTAGAACACTTTTAATAAGCACTTCCTTAGCCACAATAGATAAGAATCGAACCCCCCAGTTACTAATCCTCTTATTGATTAGGTCCAAATAGTAGCTAAAAGTCTCCCTCTTATCCCTTCCTACTATAGTCGGTAACCCCAAGTATCTCTCAGAATTTGATGACACCCGCACACCAAGTAAGGCACCAATTTGATCCTTAACAGACGGTTGAACATTACCACTGAAAAATATGAGGGATTTATCATAGTTTACTCGCTTCCCGGACACAACACAATAGTCATTTAAGACATTCAACATATTAGAAGCACCCGAGATTGTGGCATCGCCAAAGAGAATGTTGTCGTCCGCAAAGAGTAAATGGCCTACCTCCAATCTTTCTCGTCCCACCGTTGACCCTCTGATAAGTTTATGCCTATTTGCGGCATTCGTTAGGGCAGATAATCCTTCAGCACACACGAGAAAGAGGTAAGGGCTTAAGGGATCCCCTTACCTTAAACCACTGGAAGGCCGAAATTGAGATCCGATGGCACCATTCAAACCAACAGAATAGGATACAGCGTTAACACATTTCATGATGAGACTAACCCAACCTCAATATCATTTTTTCTAAGAAGGACCACTCAACTCTATCATAGGCCTTACTCATATCTGCTTTGAGAGCAAAAGTTCCCCGACTTCCAACTTGCCTCTTTTGCATAGCATGTAAAACCTCATAGGCTATAACGATGTTGTCCGTTATTTGCCGATTAGGAATGAAAGCACCTTGCGCCCTGTCGATACAAGCATCCAAGACAGAAGAAAATCTACAGGCTAAGACTTTCGCCACAATTTTGTAGAAGACATTACATAAACTGATCAGCCTAAAATGCGTCATATTTTTCGGCTTGGCAATCTTAGGAATAAGAACAACATGGGTAGTATTAATTAATCCCACATCAGCGCTACCATTCAAAATAGACAAACAAAAAGAGATAACATCATCTCCTATTACATGCCAATAATTTTGATAGAACAGAGCCGAAAATCCATCAACACCGGAAGCTTTCAAATGAGCCATACCTTTTACCGCTTGCCATATCTCTTCAGCCCGAAAAGGAAAAGTCAGTAATTCGTTCGCCTCATCCGTAACGCGTGGTCGAACTTCGTCAAAAATATTAGATACATCCGTAGCGAAAGAAGATTGAAAGAGCTCCTTGAAATAATTTGTAGCAAGATTCAACAGCCCCCGGTTATCAGATATCCAATTCCCACAGGAATCGAACAAACCCTTCACACTATTCTTCTTCTGCCGATATGTTGCATAATGATGAAAAAATGACATTTTGGTCGCCGTGTTGAAGCTAGTTAATCCTCGCTCTTTGCTCCCAATAAGCCTCCTCTCTATCAGCTTCCATATTAAAACCCAACTTCACTTATACGAACTCCCTTAACATATCATCATTCGGATCAGTATGGGACAAATCTCAAAGCCGCTCTTGTAGAGAATTTTTCCTGCGCTTGGTGTTACGCTTTCGACTGGCATTCCAAGCAGCCAACTCACGAACCAATTTATCAAGTCGATCAGGAACAGTCTCGGTTGCAGACACCCAACAGCTCTTAATGATGTGCTCGGCCTCTTCCTCCAAGACCCAGTTTGCATCAAACCGAAATTTAGCAAGTTGTGGACCAACACCAACAAACTGATACTGCTTCGTTTCTGTTAATACAGGGCAATGATCGGAAATCGAATGGCCAAGATGAGTGACTAAATTCCCCGGGAACAAAAGCCACCAACTCGAATTCGCAACCGCCCTATCAAGACGCCCCTGGATATTATTCTCGGGCAAACGACCCTTTCCCACGTATACCAGTTGCCCTTGAACCCCAGATCAGCAAGATCACAATCACTCAACGCATCACGGAAGCCTGCCATATTCCTTTCCGAATGAAGCCGACCACTCTGCCTTTCAAACGAGAACACGATTTCGTTGAAGTCCCCCGCAACTAACCACGGCATCGACTGATCACTCCCTAACTGTAGCAACAAGACCTATGAAGCTTGTCGATCACATTCAACGGTATTTCTATAGAAGCCTGTAAAACGCCAAATTACATCATTGTTTTCCCTTAAGATCACGTCAATATGCGAGTGGGAATAACTACGCAGTACAACATCCCAATCCGTCTTCCATCCAAGAGACAAACCGCCTCTTGAGCCATCCGTCGAAACATCTATACAGAATAAGTAACCACACTTCCGTCGAACCCTTACCATTCTCCTCACATTCAACTTTGTTTCCATGAGAAAGACACGGTGGGGGTGAGTGGCTCTCAGGGTATTTCTGAGACGGTTAACCGCCCGTGGTGCCCCCAACCCATGGAGGTTCCAGGCTTCCAGCATATGCGTTTCATGGCTGCCGGCTGCCCTGTCTCGCAGAGCTAGCCGATATTTCATTCAAAACATTACACACACCAGAGTCGGTTCTGTTGGAAATAAAACACTCACACAAACAACTTTTATTGAAACTCAAACAAATATTACATGAGTACTCTCACTCAAAAACAAGAACTACAACTCACTCTTATAAGACTTTGCTTCTTCACTCACTTAGAAGCTCTTAATTTTTCTTGATGCTTAAAACTAAAATGGGAAGGGGTATTTATACTACTCAAGAACAATCCTACACCACACAAATAAACTAATTTAAACCATTACAAATTCAACAAATATCTAACTCTCACCTAACTAAATTGATGAAAGCAATGACATCATTAATTAAATGATGTAAGCAATGACATCTTTAATTAAATAATGTAAGTAATGACATCAATTTAGTTTGGGTTTGGGTTTAGGCTCCCATAATGGATCAAGTTTATGATCCAACACCCTCCCTTAAACTTGATCTCGTGACCCCTAGTAGGTTCCTTAATCTTAAGAAGTCTTCGTTGGTCAGTGGCTTGGTAAAAATATCAGCAACTTGATCTTGTGACTTCACATATTCAACTTCCACATATTTTCTTGCAACACACTCCCTTATATAGTGGTAGCGAATATCAATGTGCTTGCTTCGATCATGGAATACTGGATTCTTCGCTAAGGCAATGGCTGACTTGTTGTCGACACAAACCTTGGTAGGCTCTTCTTGTATCAAACCAATCTCCTTCAATAGATTTCTAAGCCAAATTGTATGACAAACACATGAGGTAGCAGCAACATATTCCGCTTCACAAGTGGACAATGTGACAATCGGTTGTTTCTTTGACATCCATGTGAATGCAATATCTCCCATGAAAAATACGAATCCAGTAGTGCTCCTTCGATTATCTATGTCTCCACCCCAATCACTGTCGCTATATCCAACAAGCTTGTAATCATTAGAAACTGAATAGAACAAACCAAAGTCAATTGTACCTTTCAGATAGCGAAGAATTCTCTTTGCAGCTTTAAAATGGGTGGTTGTTGGGGATTCCATGTAGCGACTAACCAATCCAACTGCGTGAAGAATACCGGGTCTCGTGCAAGTTAGATATCGTAGACTTCCTACCAAACTTTTGAAGAATGTTGGATCTACACTTTCGCCTTCTTCATGTTTGGTCATCTTGATCCCGTATTCTGCCGGTGTGCTTATTGGCTTACAGTTCTCCATCTTGAACTTCTTCAGTATCTCCTTTGCATAGCTTTCCAGTGAAATGAAAATTCCATCATTTAGTTGCTTAACTTCAATGCCAATGTAGTACGCCATGAGCCCCATGTCTGTCATCTCAAATTCTTTCATCATCACATCCTTGAATTCATTAAACATGCTTGGGTTGCTTCCAGTGAAGATCAAATCGTCCACGTAGAGGCACACGATCAAAATATCTTCATCTTTGATCTTGATATATAGAGCATGCTCGTAGGGACATTTGTTGAAACCATTCTCTTGGAAGTACTTGTCGATTCGGCTATTCCATGCCCTTGGTGCTTGTTTTAGCCCGTAAAGAGCCTTCTTCAACTTCAACACCTTGTCTTCATGCCCTTTGACTTCATAGCCTGATGGTTGCTGAATGTAAAGTTCCTCTTCAAGAACTCCATTTAGGAAGGCGGACTTTACATCCATCTGTTGTATCTTCCACTTGTTTTGAGCTGCCAAAGAAATGATTAGTCTGATAGTCTCCAATCGAGCAACAGGAGCAAATACCTCATCATAGTCAATTCCAGCCTTTTGACTATAGCCTTTAGCAACTAGCCTCGCCTTGTGCCTTTCAATCTCTCCTTTGGCATTTTGCTTTGTTTTGTACACCCATTTGACACCTATCGCCTTATGTCCCTTGGGAAGTGAGGTAAGTTCCCATGTGTCATTCTTCTCGATGGCCTTGATTTCTTCGTCCATCGCATCTCTCCATTTCTTTTCTTGTACCGCTTCTTGAAAGCTCACTGGTTCACAATCGGCAAACAAACAAAATAATGTAAGATTATCTTGTCGTTCAGTTACCTCATAGAGATCTCTAAGGCTTCTTGTGCGTTGCACAACTCTTTCACTTTGACTCCCACTTGACGATGATGAAGGTGATGAGTCTCCTTGAGTGGTTGATGTTGGTGAAGTGGGTGGAGTTGCAAGCTCTTGTTGAGATTCATCTAGTTGCTCCCTCATTGTATGCTCATCTTCTTCAAACTGAGGAAAGAAATTGAAGTCATCTGTATGAGAGTTAAAATCCCATTCTCCTTCTTCGTTGAATACCACATCTCGACTAATCACAAACTTCTTATTGTCTGGATTGTACAACTTGTAGCCCTTCGAATTAGCATCGTAGCCGATGAAGATAAAACTCTCGCTTTTATCATCAAGCTTCGTTCTTCTCTCGTCTGGTACGTGAACATGGGCTATACTTCCAAAGGTTCTCAAGTGGGAAATGCCAGGCTTTCTTCCATTCCATGCCTCTTGCGGTGTCTTTCCCCATACACTTCTTGTTGGAGATCGATTTGACAAGTAGACTGCACACGATACTGCTTCCGCCCAAAATTCTTTGGGTAGTTTCTTGCTTTTGAGCATGCTTCGTGCCATGTCGAGGATTGTTCTATTCTTTCTTTCTGCCACACCATTTTGCTGGGGGGATCTAGGAACTGTCATTGGTCGACGAATTCCATTTGCTTCACAGAACTCTTGAAACTCCTTGGAAGTAAATTCTCCACCTCGATCGGATCTCATGGCTTTGATCTTTCTACCGCTTTCTCTCTCCACTACTGCTTTGAACTTCTTGAAGACTTCAAAAACTTCTGACTTCTGTTTCAAGAAATATACCCAGGTTTTTCTTGAAAAATCATCAATGAAGAGAAGAAAATAATTATTGTTACCGAGAGAGCTTGGCTTGATCGGTCCACACACATCGGTATGGATGAGCTCAAGTGGCTTCTTAGCTCTTGTCTCTGACTCCTTTGGAAAGCTTTTCCTGAATTGTTTCCCGACTAGACACCCTTCACAGAGCTGGTCAGGATGGTTGATGTGAGGTAGTCCTTTCACCATCTCCTTCTTAGATAATAGCTCTAGACCTCCAAAATTGAGATGCCCAAATCGAAGATGCCAAAGCCATGATGCATCTTTGTAGCAAGCTTTCAGGCACTTTGCAACATCATTTTGTATGTTGATCAAGAACATTCTATTCTTTGACATCGGCACTTTAGCAATGAAGTTATTCTTATCATCTTTTATAGAAATATTATAATTATTTATATGAATATCATAACCTTTCTCTACCAGTTGCCCTAAACTTAAAATGTTACTTTTCATATTGGGCACATAGTAGATATTTGAAATAAATTGATGTCTCCCATCTTTCAAACGGATAAGAATGTTACCTCTCCCTTTCACTGCTATTGTGGAATCATCTCCAAACGAAACATTTCCACTTACTGACTCGTCTAGCTCCACAAACATGTCTTTCCTTCCACACATGTGATTGCTTGCACCACTGTCAAGATACCAGGAATTTGCTTGGCCACCATCAGTTTCCTTTCGTGCTAGAAGAAGAGTTTCTTTGCCATCTGTCTTTTCCTCCACGTAATTGGCCTTCTCCTCAATTTTGTTGTTGGGAGCTCTACATTCTGAAGCATAATGCCCAAATTTTTGACAATTATAACATCGAATTTGAGATTTGTCATACTTTGAGTTTGGATTAATTCTTCCACGGCCTCGTGTTGAGCTTTCTCCTTTCTCATAGTTATTGTTGGAATTGTTATTGTTGTAATTCCAGCCTCGTCCACGACCTCGACTTCCACCTCGTCCATGGCCTCTACCTCTGCCTTGGCCACGTTGGTTTCTATCATTGCGTTGGCTCTCATGCATATCCTTGAGTTGCAGCTTGAGGAGTTGCTCAGTAAACTCATGCTTCTTTTTATGCTTCTCTTCGTATGCTTGCAATGATCCTTGGAGCTGTTCGATCTTCATTTCTTCCAAGTCTTTAGTTTCTTCAATCGTCACGACGATGTGCTCAAATTTGGGTTCCAACGAACGGAGTATCTTCTCTATTATCCTCACATTGTCTAACTTTTCACCATTTCTTTTTAATTGATTAGAAACAGCTACTACTCTTGAGAAATAATCTGAAATAGACTCAGATGCTTTCATGTTTAAGGATTCGAATTCACCTCTTAATGTTTGGAGACGAACCTTCTTCACTTGCTCGGATCCTTTGTAAGAGGTTTGCAGCTTCTCCCACGCTTCCTTGCTAGAGCTTGCACTTGAAATCTTTTCAAAACCATCATCATCTAATGCTTGATAGATGAGGTAGAGAGCCTTCTTGTCTCTCTTTCTTGAATCCTTCAAAGTTGTCTTTTGATCTGGTGTAAGAGTAGCAAAAGCATCATCATCCGCAGGCTCGTTATAGCCTTTCTCTATGATATCCCACACATCTTGTGATCCAAGAAGTGCCTTCATTTTGATACTCCAATTGTCGTAGTTGTTGTTGTTGAGTGTCGGAACTTGGAATGGTGCCATACCATTTGCCATATCTCTCAATATAATGAGATTTTGTAAAAAT